ACTCTCTCCGGGCTCAGTTGGTTTCTCTCCACCTCTCCTCCATCCCCCTCTCCAGGAATCAAAAGTCTCTTGACCTTGATCTCCAGACAGAGACCAGCAGAGGCCTGTAGGGCCAATGTCCATGGCAGGCACTGAGCTTGCTATATGCAAGGCCAGTGCTGGGCTCACGTGGGACCTTGGAGGACCTACCCAGGGCTGGGAAGCTGGCAGCCTCTCTCCCCAGTGGTGGGGGAGGCTGGGCAGGTGGGCTGCTGGGGGAGCTTACCTTACTAATATCTGGTCAGGCTGTAATAGGAGGCATTCGATTTTTTTAAAAGAGCTTCCTACCAGTGAAACTGGTCTTGAAAATCAGGACTGGGTCCCTGTTCTCCTGGTGTCGAAGACTGAACACCCAAGAAATGCCAAGGCAAGAACAAAAAGTTTTATTTAAAGGATAGAACAGGGAGGGAGACTCCTCTGGAGAGGAGAGAGTCCAGAGCTGGTGCCTGAGGGAGTGGGGGTATCCTGCCCCTTTTATAGACTCCAGGTTTCCTCTCTTCTCATGCCCCCTCCTCCTCCCCTATGTGGTGACCAAAAGGGCAGAAAGAGAGCTGTCCAGGGGGTGATTGCTTGTGTTGCAAAATGTGATCCTCCCCCTCCCCCGAAGGAGGTCGTTAGCAACCAGGTGATGGGAGCGCTATCACTCATCTCCTTTTCTTTGATAATTACCTTCCTTTGCCCCAGTCTGCCCAGGAGTGAGACAACACAAAACAGTGTGGAAATCTGGAAAGTTCTGGATATTTCCCCATCTCCTCTGGAGAACCTTTAACATCAAGAAGAGCCCTGCCCAGTGGCTTGGGAGGCTGAGGCAGGAGGATCACAAGTTCAAGGGCCGTCTCAGCAATTTAATAAGACTCTAAGAAACTTAGCTAGAAATCTTGTCTCAAAATAAAAAGTAAAAAGGGCTGGGGATGTGGCTCAATGGTAAAGCACCCCTGGGTTTATCTCCAGTACCAAAAAAAAAAAAAAAAAAAAAAGCCCTGGATACCTTAATTTCTCTCCCTGGTCCCTGAGAGTGGGTGAGGAAAAGAGGCTGACCCGGAAGGTAAAGTGTAGGGAAGTGTCCCTTCCACATCTTTGCGCCTTGTCTTCTCTGATTTGTCAATCACTGACCCAGGGCATTTCAATTAGCCCCTTGCCTGCAGCTGACTGAATAGTTGAGGGTGCCACAGGCTTAGACAAGTGAGCATGAGATACCCTCACACGTGTGCAAACGTGCATACACATGCACACATAGGGTACAATGTCTCTCTTTCTCACATGCATGTGCAGGGCTTTGAGCATCACAATGAATGTTAGCATTTGTTCCTGGGAGAGGTATTATCCTCCTTAGGGACTCTCCTATTCAAAACCTGGCTTGACATCTCAACCTCCCCATCCCTGGTCAACCCAACCCGATTCTTCTCCCTTCCCTCCCAATTGTCAGAGTATTTTTATTTGAATAAATCAGCAGGAAAAGATTGCAAATTCAAAGTCCTTTCCCAAACTCTGTGATGTATAGTTATAAAAATAATGTTAATAACAGAAAGTGACCTTTATTTCTAATCCATAGTCTTGGATGACTTCTGGCTTTTCTTTTCTCAAGAAAATAGATTTTTTCCTGGTTATTAAAAATAATACAATTTCATGCAAAAATATTCAAACAATACAGAAAAACCTAAAGATGTGAGTCAGGAGGCTGAAATTTCACCATCTGAGCTACTACTATTCACATCCCATTGAATAGTCTTTCAGACTTAAAAGTACACACTCACATACACACAGATGTTTTATACAAAAAAAATGAGATGGTGTTAGGCATGTTCCTTTCTAACCTGCCCCTCTCTCTCAACTGTATATTATGGACATCTTCAAATGGCAGCAGACTCCCCACTAAGGCACCTCAGCCTCCAATTCATGTTTTACCCCCCTTCTCCCCTCCTCTTAGATAGGAGTGAATTGGCACAAGGTTTCTGGGAGAGCAGGGCTCTGCTTAGAGTGTGTATAGATGGACTGAGACTCTCAAAGCGTGGAGTCCTCAGCTGAGTTTGGTTGGTCTTGGGGGACTTGAAAGAAGCAGGAAGCTCACAACAGTTTTTAAAGAAAAACCTAAACAACCGAAGAGACGGGGTGATGGACTCAGTGGTAGGATCAGCATTTGGGAAACCTGCCAAGTGGACCTCGGAGCAGGAAGCCATGCTGGGTGCCCAGGAAGATGGATTTGGGAGCAGGGGGTTGGGAAAACAGTGTGGAGGGAGGCCTCCGCCCAGGCTTGGGGTGACTTCAAGGAGAACAGCTTTGACTTTTTCCTTGGATTTATTTATACCCAGCCTCTTTCTGAAAAGGTGTTACAGTAGCTTTCAACAAAGGACATATGCAAAAAGGTCAGGCAGCTAGAAATAGAAAAGCAGGACCAGGGACGATTTCCATCTGAAGCAGAGGACTGAAGCCTGAGCCCCAAAGGAAAGGACCCTGCTTCTCCCAGCCCCCTGAAGACGAGCTGGTAGGAAAAGCAGCACAACTTCCAAAAGGGGGACAAAGAGGAGCGAATCTGCTGATATGAATGAACACTGCACTTCAGAGGTGCCTCCAAGTCCTACCCCTTCTGAATTTTACGAGCTAGGGTGACCGCGTCATTTTCTGAGCCTCAGTTTCCTCCTCTGTAATATGGAAATTAAAATGTCTGAGTCATAAATCACATAAGGACTGTTTCTATAAATTACCTGACCTACCTAGATAGCTTTCTTTGGGACCTACCCTTGGACAGGGTCCACTGGAGGACTTTCATGGTGCATACACTGCACCTGAGGTACCCTGAGAATGAATGGTCACTAGAGGAGGGACAGAGGAAGGAAGATGCAAGATGGAACATTTATGGAGACTCCCAGGCCCCTGCCCCTGTGAAGCGGACCCACCCACAAACTCTCTAGAAATGGCAGTCCCCAGGTAGCTATGTCTTATATCCATGACCCCTTCCTCTAGCCCAGCCGATTGGATCAAGGGTGACACCTGACTCAAGAGCTGTCAACCAACAGGTGACTCAATGATGTGTGTGTGGCTAGACACAGAATGGTGGGACAATCCCGTCAGCCCCTTCTCTAGAGAGGCTGAGTCAGTGGATGCTGGTGGCTGCCACTGAAGGTCCCAAGGGAGAGATGGAGCTGAGGGGTCGTGAAGCCTGGCAAGCTGAAGTCATGAGCGAGCGTCATCATGAGTCTGGAGAGGAACTGTGTGGGCGAAAAGATGCCAATGAGGGGAAAGGCTGAGTCACACCAGGTGGTCAGGTGTTGCTCACCAACAAATTACCCCCCACCTCTGGGGCCTCAAACCATCCAGCAATTACTTCATTATAACCCATGCCAATTCTTGAAGCTGGTGGTCTAGAGCTACTGCGAACCCAGGAAAACCATCTGTTGCAACTCCCACTTGGATTTCAGAGAGCCTGGCCCCTCAGTACGTGTATCCACCCAGGAACTCCTAGACTACAGTGAGCTTGGGTGGGTCTTTTCCTGCATCCATCGAGCCAACCCGCAGCAGCAGTGGACTCCAGACACACAGACCACGTATCTCCGGTGTGGCAGGAAGAATCTGTCTACATGAGAGCTGATAAGGCTCAGGAGTTGACAATCCCAGTTTTTCACCTTTCTGAACCCCAGTTTCCCCATCTGAAACAGGGAGTCAAACTATCTGCTCTATCTACCTAAGTCACTGCCACTAAGTAAAGGCTCTCTCCCTGTCATTTCCTGGTCTCCCCGTAGTTCCTAAGATAACACCCATAACACCCCTTGATTTGGGTCACTCTGCAAATGCTCACAGAAGAGTGGATTTCCCTCCTCACCACTGGCCCCCAGGACCCTGGTGATCCCATTACTCTGAACAGAAACAGAGTAGAGGGCCGACCCTTAAGGACCTCCCAGCTCTGCCATTCTAGAATCCTGAGAGGTCTAGGATAAAGGGAAAGGTGGCAGAAAATGATCTGGGGGCAAGTAGGCAGGTGGCTACCTGCACCCAGGTAGAGTGCAGAGTGGGGCTTATGGGGCCAGAACAGAGATTTTGAGGAGAGCAGGGAGAAGGTTGGCAGGTGGGGGCCTGAGTGACATTTCAACCACTCTTGCCAACCTTAGTCCTCCTCTATCCTTCTCCTTCCTGAGCCTTTTGGTTTTTCCATTCCTCCAGGACTTTGCATATCCCATTCCCTCTATTTGGAAGACACCCTCTTCCCTACCAGTGACTCCCATCCTTCTTTAGGTCTCCCCTAAATATTTCTCTTAGCAATGTCTTCCCTGAAGCCCCAGCCCAAATAAGAACCCTCTTTCACAGTCCTAATTACATTCATATTTATATATTTCTTGGTATAATTATCAATTTAATATCCATCTCTCCTACTAACAAGAGATTCCATGATGGCTGTCTAGGGTTGGTATTTGTGGAATGAATAAATGAATAAGGGCACGAAATTCATTGCTAGCAAACCAGGGTGCTGTCCCCACTGTTCAAGCCACAGAGCAGGATCCACAATGGCAAGTGCCAAAGAGAAGAAAGGATGCCCCCAGGAAAGAAGCCCCCAGCTCCCCATCCCGCCAC